TTCCAATGATTTGGGTAAAGCATTCTTGTGGATTGTCGTCTTGTACATGTCAACAAGAAACGTATAGCCCAACTCCAAAAGGATAGAGTGTTGGAGTCATTCGACCTTAGGGATGATGACGTGTGCGATTCACTAGTACTTGTGAAAGCGGTGAGGGTTTATTGGATCCACTACTAGAAAACAACCCTTTAATGACGTGCAAACAATGACACTCGCTGATAGAGGACTGATATGAGTATATTTAGTTATAAAATTCATGCATTATCTCAATACTTTATGTTGTTTTTGTCTCTTTTAATGAACAAAAGGTGCTTAATTAGTTTATAATTTCATTTTTCAGCAAAAATGACATGCTCGAAAGGAAAATGAAGCGGAACTAGCGATTGGAAGCTTGGATCTTGGATTTTGAAGAAAGAAGGATGTTGCTGGACAGCTTGACCCCTCGTCAGTGTTTTGGCCATATCTCATGAACCGTAACTCCGATTGACGAGATTCAAAATGTTCTGAAAAGTAGACACAATTTCGGACGACTTTCGTGTTTTGAGAAAATGCTGATTCGAAACGTACTCGGCGAGTAGGGTCGATTACTCTCCGAGTTGGTCAGAAGTTTCGCGATTCTGGACGCGCTGACTTGCCGTACACGGGTTTTAAGTGACGGAATCGCCGAGTAGGTCACTGGACTCGCCGAGTAGCCCCTGTTTTGTGAAAATCTATATAAAGGGACTTTCAGATCGATACCCTAGCATATAGATAAACCCTTGGAGGCCAATTGTCGACTAAAGGTGTTGTTGGAGCGTGGGAAGCAAGGGAATCAACCCTACATTCAATTTTAAGGAGAATCAAGTCAAAATCAAGTTTACTCTTACCTAATCTCTTATTTGAACTACGTTTTTACCAATTGATTTCGTTTTTGTGCTTGTTTCTGCTGTAATCATGAGCTAAAAACTCATAACTTCTGTTTAGGTAGATGAATTTGTGAACATGGATTGATTATTTGATTAGGATTAATTTTAATTGGTGATTATGTTTTATTAAGCTTGTTAAAGAACCTTATGTGTTAACAATAACTATTCTTCTGTTAATAAATTAGTAATTAAGTTGTATGAACATCTCTTAGTTATTAATTTCATATGATTTATTGTGACCACATAGTTGTATGTCTGGGAATAACGAATGTGAAACTAGAATTAACTAGTAGATAGGTAAGTTAATGTGTGAGATTGTTTGATGAACATCAGCAAGAAGTTAATTTAAGGGCCAATTTAATTAACCATTACAAGTCTTATTTAACCCGAATCAATAACTAGGAAATTCGTTAATTTAGACAACTGGCCACTGTTTGAGTTAATTTGTTTCCTAAGGATTAGTAATAGCAAACGTGAAACTAATCATCTTAGTCGGTAACCAATGAAGAATTAATCCGATACATTGAAATCATCCATGGGAACAAATGAGTCGAACCTAAACAGAAGTCCTCTTTATTATTGAATTTAGTTGATTTTTATTTGCTTAGCTCTTAGTTTCTTAGTTTAAGTTTTAGTTAATTGTTTAAGTTTCTAGTCTTGCAAAACTAGAGAAAACCCCCTTTTTGTTATTTGTTTTATTTAGATAATTTTAGCATTTATTTTAATTGTTTACCGTTCCCTGTGTTCGATACCCTACTTGCTTGAACTATATTACTAATCGATAGGTACACTGCCTTTTGTGTGTTTATTTTTGTGTCTAAGTTAGTAGGATTAAAACTAGTTTGTTTCACACACATCAAGGATGCGCATTGGTATGTGCCCTAAAAAATAATGTCAATTTTGCAAAATTTGAAGGATAGTGGACGCGCATTTGTGCATGCCCTAAAATTAGTGTAAGAAAAGAAAAAAATGCGGAGGGCGCCTTTCATAAAGTGTGCGCCCTCTAAATGTGTCGCTTTATATTTTTTTCCTAAACACGCATTTTTAAAGGGAGAAAACGAAATCGTCTGAAATTCTAAAATTTTGAATAACCCTGCTTCTACCCTCTCTCCTCAGTATCTCCCTTTTCATTCACTCCTTCCTTCTCTCTCTAAACCCTAAGCCATCGCCACTGCCACCGCCATTGAGCCTTAAAAACTCAATCCACACTGAATCCTACAATAGAACCCTAATAATCCTTTTGAATCAACACATCCTTTTAAATCGGCTCATCTTCCTTTACCTTTCTCTCTCTCTCTCTCTCTCTAAGCCCTAAGCTGCCACCACCAACATCGAACCCGATAAGCTTTAAGAGTTTGGAGTGCATCTAGAAACCTAAGAACACACTTTCGCCATCTCAAGATACCGGTTCAAGATCGGAACACCAATCCCTCTGTCCCTACTAAGATCCCACGCACCGCTGCCCCTAATCTTCTCCTTCAAAACGAAAGAATCGCTCGATGATTCTTCCTCTACCGGTGGTCCCACCTCCGAATCACTCGAGACTGAAATTTTTGAGGACCGACTCTCGCAGGTACGTCTGTGTAATCAGAGTGGCAAAGGGAAGAAAGTCGACCCATGGAAGAGCATGAAGTCCGGGAAGAAATCCGGTGGGAGTTCAGGATCTAGGGCAAACATGTACCTCCCACTGGTGCCTTCGAAGGATCTGAATTCAGGTTGAGTTTGGAGTGCGTCTAATGAAATCTGATCATCGATGATGCAATAATGATTCTCTCTCACACTCGAACCCTAGATATCACTTCCTACCCTCCTTCATCTATATTCTCTCCATCCGACCACCAGACCATCCATGAGCACCACCAATCGATGACGTCACGATGCCTGCAATTCCGACTCCTATCAAATTGACAGTGGCATGACTTCATTTGATAGGTTTGTGTGTTTATTTTGGCTAGTTTTTGTCTTTTCTTCGGTTTTAGAGAACCCTTTATCAATTTCATCTTAATAGGTAAGCATAATAATCTTGATACTTGATTTTGGCATTTTTCTGCAGTTTTATTTATCAATTGGGGCTTGCAAATATTGGAAATCTTGTTGTGTAAACTTTCTTATACATGTATCTGTTATGTATCTGTCTCTACTTGCAATGAATATGATTTCTCATGGTCTAAATTACTACGACTTTTATTTTCAAACAGAACTGAATGGTGAACAACAACAAAATGGGGTCATTCTTGCTTGAACCAATTGAAGGGTTTTAACAATATTCACAGATCATTGATGGTAAATCAAGATTCTGAGATATTTCCAGAAGATGCAGAAGACACCCCATGTGACTTTAATGAACTTGTATCTACTATGCAGTCAGATTGTTTAACTGATACATTATCAGTTTACTTAGAATCATGTGAGCCCTTATCAGTTACTGACAATGACCCTTCTCACAATGTATATGAACCAAATACCGATTCCCTTGTTGACCCTTTTAACTATATTGTCTTAACTGAATCCTTTGAAGTGAGATATTATAACTATGTGCAAAATATCAAATGTTCATCAACTTGGAGAAGTAGCCGAAAGGTTACAATGAATCAAAAAACTGATACCAACTTGGTTGCAAGAAAGAGCAGAAGAGCTTCTGGAAAGAAGCCAATGTTAGATTTATTATCTGCAGATGTTGGAAGAAGAAGAAGAAGAAGTGCTTGGGTATGTTGTGATGATTGTCATAAATGGAGAAGAATATCAGCTATACTTGCAGATTCTATAGAATCCACAAAATGCAGATGGTATGATTTTATCTTTTTTCAAATTTCAACCTATGGTATAACAATAGATTTGTGTCTAAATACTTCAAATTTTATAACTTGGATAAAACCTATTTTCCCTTCTTTTTTATCCTTTCAAGTCAAAATTGATGAGTATTGTGAAATTTGTCTTTTGGAAAGTAAGGGTAAGATGGTCATTTAGTTAGGGATGGCAAATAAACCCGAACCCGACGGTGAAACCCGATTCCCGAAGTTTTCGGGTCGGGTCGGGTCAGTACTATCGGGTATCGGACCGGGTATCGGGTATTTTTCTGGGTTCGGGTCAGGGAGTGGGTTGTGTCTGCCCTGCCCCGCCCTGCCCTGAATATATATATATATATATATATATATATATATATATATATATATATATATATATATATTAATATATTAATATTACACTTCAGCCCTAACAAAACTCGTTCACAATTACAAATCACACTTCTCACTCTTCTCTTCGTCTTCTACTCTTCTAGGTTACAGTCGACATTCCAAATTGCCGAGTCGACATTCCAAATCGACTGAAATCAAATCGCAAGCTACGAGCCTGCGATAGACGATAGTGCGACCAACGGGTAACGACAGACGATCGCATCTTTCTTTCTCTTCATTTTCGATCGCATCTCCATCTTCGATCGACGCCACACAGTGACACTCACGCACACGAAACAATCACAGGTACTTGATCATTCGATCATATCTTTCTTTCTCTTCATTTTTCTTGAAATTGATCATATTTAATTGATCACAACTTGTATCTTTCTCTTCAATCGTTCCCTGTGGCCCTGTATCTTTCATTCCTGTGGTAATTTGGATTCTTGAAATCAATCTCTTATTTAGAAATTAGAATATGTGTCCTACTGTATCTTTCATTCCCTGTGTAATTTGGATTCTTGAAATCAATTTCTTATTTGGAAATCTGAATAACGTTTTGAACCTTTAGAATCTGTAAAGTAATTTGTTTTATAATAAAAACTAAGGAAATTGAATTGTTTTATAATAAATCTGTAAACAATCATTTACATTCTAATTTTGTGGTAATTGAGCTTATACGTATTTATGATATATTTATATTCTAATTTTGAATAATCATTTGACAGAAGAAACATTTAATTTTGATTATATCTAAAATAATTTATATTTATATGTTTAGTTAAGAATATATTTGATCTTGTCTTCAATGTACTGTTTAAGCAATTAGCACCTATTTAAAATCAATACAAAACTGTTTTTTGCATTTGTGTGGTTAAGAATAATGTCCTGATAGGTAAACTGTTATTTTTCGGAAAATATGAATTCAACCAGTCAAAATCATGCTCCAACTGCATGTAGTCAAGATGTGGGAGGTTCGGGTTCTAATCAACAAAATAATGATTCTGTGGATCAACAAGATGGAACAAATATTATTGATACAGTTTTTGATGAAGATGGAGATGAAGTTGTTGGTTCGAAAAGGGCAACACGTTCACCGACATGGCAACATTTTATAAAATTTAAATTGAATGATGAAGTAAAAGCAAGATGTAAACATTGCTCTACAGTGTTGGGTGCAGATAGCAAGAATGGCACAAAACATTTACTTGCACATTATAAGCATTGTGTACAGAAACCTTTTACAGATATTCGTCAATCTATCTTGGTGCAAGAAAAAAAGAAATTAGATGGTACTACAACGCATGTTTCAAATTATACATTTAATGCTGATACTTCTAGGAAGGATTTGGATGAAATGATTATTGTGCATGAGTATCCGCTTTCAATTGTAGAGCATCATGGATTTAGGAAGTTTGTAGGAGGTCTTTAACCTTTGTTTAAGGTTCCTTGTCGAAACACCATCAAGGACGACATCAAAAGAATTTACGATTACGAAAGGGATAAAACTATGAGTTTGTTAGCAAAGAACAAAAGCAGAATTGCAATTACTACTGATATGTGGACATCTAATCATCAAAAAAAGGGTTTATGGCAATGACAACACATTTTGTAGATCAAAACTGGAACTTGCAAAGCAGAATTATGAGGTATATTATACTTATTTAACTACAATTTATACGTACTTATTATTTATATGTTAATATTAACATATATATTTATATATTCTTAAACAGGTTTATTTACGTGCCTTGTCCGCATACATCTGATGTTCTTGCCGACATACTTTATGATACTTTGTGTAATTGGAATCTTGATAGGAAAGTGTCAACTCTTACTGTGGATAATTGCACCACAAATGATGCAATTATCAAGATATTATTAGAGAAACTTATTCTAAAATCACTAATGATGAATGGTGATTTGTTTCATATGCGTTGCTGCGCACATATTCTCAATCTTACTGTCCAAGATGGCTTATCTCATTAAATTTGAGATTGAGAGAATTAGAGAGAGTGTTGCATTTTGGTCGGCATCACCAAAGAGGGAGCAAAATTTTGTGACATCAGCAGAACAGTTGGGAATACCATACTCAAAGAAGTTGATACTGCAAGACACGGTGGAACTCTACATTCTTGATGTTTAGTGTTGCTATAAGCTACAAAGAGGTTTTCGATCGGGTAAAGACAAGAGGCTCGAAGTATACATGTTTTCCTACAGAACAGGATTAGGAGTTGGCTAGTGAGATTTGTGAAAGATTACAACTTTTTTATGAGGTGACTGTTATGTTCTCTGGTTCAAAGTATCCTATAGCTAGTGTTTTCTTTCCTTTGATATGTGAGATTGGGTATTCTTTGCGTGAGTGGACGAAATCTCCTATTGAGGAGATTAAGATGATGGTTGACGAAATGGTTTCTAAGTTCAATAAGTATTGGTATGTAATTCATGGGATAATGGGAATGGCAACGGTTTTAGATCCACAATACAAATTAAAGTTTGTCGAGTTACTTTTGCCTGTGCTTTATGGAGAAGAAAAGGCAAAGATTGAATTTCAAAATTTGGAGGCGTTTGTCTAAACTTTGTTTCAAGAGTACGAGTTAGGTAATGCATCTAAAAAAAAGGAAGAGTGAAGGTATTATATTCTTCTTATTGTTTGTATAATAAATAGAACATTATCTTAAATTATTAACATTTTTATAATAAACATTAGGTGTTTATGGTGGTTCAGTTCCTGGTTCATCTTCATTTGGTTTTAGTATCTCTTCCGGTCATCATGTTGGATTCAAAAAGCTCTTATCGGATATTGCTTCCATTACTAGAGATGATGATGAATAAGGAGGTATGAGTGAGTTGGATAACTACTTGAAGGAGAAATTGTTGCCTAAAGATATGGAACTTGATTTGTTGGCATGGTGGAAAACAAATGGGATTAAGTACCCGACACTACAAAGGATAGCTAAAGATATATTAGCTATTCCTGTTTCCACTATTGCCTCGGAATCAGCTTTTAGCACTAGTGGAAGATTAGTAAGTCCTCATCGTAGTCGACTTCATCCAACGACATTGGAGGCTTTAATGTGTGCTCAAAGTTGGTTGTTGAATGAAATTCGAGGTAGTATACTATTTTATATTAATTATTTGAAATTGTGATTTTTTTTTTTTGCATATTAATAATATTAATTTTATGCAGCAACTTGTTCTGAAGAGACCGAGGCATATTGTCCTTCTGTTGAATTTGATTATGATGTGGAAGAGGTAAAACAACACTTCTAAAAATATTAATTTTATACCGTTTCCATGATTTTGTTTGATTTTGAGTTTGTTTAATATTTTGTAGGAAAACACTAAAGAAAGCGGGACAACAAGTTTGGATGATTTTGCTTGATTTTGAGTTTGTAACTTTGTTTTAATGTTAATTGGTAATGTATTATTGTGATGAATTAGTTTTTCATGTTGTGTACTTGGATGTTTTGGTTGGTTGGTTGATGTTACAATATTAGACTATTAGTAATTTCTATTTGGTTAAATGATTTAAGAACTTATTTGGTATTTTAAGCTATGCAACATCTTAATTTATCATTATGTATTTGTAGTTTTTCCTTATTTTTTTTTTGCCATAGTTCGGGTTTTAGGGTCAGGTTTTCGGGTAATTATCGGGTTTTGGGTTTAGGGTTGGGTTCGGGGAAAGTTTCAGCCCCGATGGGGCACCCCGATAAGAAACCCGTCGGGTATCGGGTCGTGTTCGGGTACATATGTAAAAATCGGGTTCGGATTTGGGACACCATGCCCCGCTCCGTTGCCATTCCTACATTTAGTGTACCTCATTTAGTGAACCTTACCTTCTTTAAAGCAACAATCTTTCCAGTTTCAGGGTCTCGAGCTCTATGCACGCTGCTGTAAGTCCCCTGTATTTTACAATTCCTTTTATAGATTGCATGCATTCATATAAACCAACCAAAAGCCCTTTATTATATTGTTTCTTATTTGCAGCTGACAGAAGCATTTGGGAAGTTTTATGGAAGCTCAAAACAGGGAACCAACAATGATAAATCTCGTGCTGGTGTTCATGACAACTGAATCAAGTATATATCACCATTCTTACTTTTTTTTTTTTTCTAATTTAATTTATTCTTCTTAATTTTAATGTTGTGAAGGCATAATGACATTTTTCATTCTTGTTTAATCAATATTCGTATTTGACATATCTAGTTGCTATCTTATTGTAGGTACATAGTGGTTTTCTCTAAGACAAAGGATTCCAAAAAGGTTTATATGTTACATTTTGAGAGAGAAGCTCTTGTTAGTGGTTCTGGTTCAGGTTCAAAGCGAACATGGAGGGTAATCAAACTCTTTTTTGCCATCATTATCTATTTATTTGTTCTGTTATATATTATCTAATGTTTGTTTCTTTATTTTGCATTGCAATCTAGACGTATGGTAGCCTTCGAGTCCCTATGAAGGATGAACTTCAGTTAGCTCCAGGTGGTAGTTTCACAAAGGTAACTATCATCTCTTCTCAAAGAATATGATCCCAATTTGAACGTATCTGATTATAATTGATTAAAACAAAAGTTAAATATAAAGATTGTAAAAGTTAAACATTTTTAAATATATACAAAGTGGTGGCGAAAATAAATGCTTAAAACAAAGAAAAACCAAAGCAACCTTTATATTTGGATTTTTAAGAGTATAAAAAATAAACCTTCTATTTTTTTGAATATAGAAAATGATAGCTAAAATAACTATTTATATTTCTCTACTGACGAAAGAAATATGGAACTAAAGTACATTGTCCACACGGGTAGTGGAACTTGAGTGCTATTATGGGATATAAAATGTATGAAAACTTGCAAATTAAGTATTTAAATTCAAAAACTAACTTAAAAAAATTTAGCCCATTTTAAAGAAACCCTTTATAAAGTAACTAAATTTTTTATTTGGTTATAAATTTATTAATCAACCCAATATTGTCGATTAACAATCATTAAAATGCTTACTAATTTATAAAAGAAAAATAAAAAACCGAAGACATAAAAATCATATTTAAATGATCAAAAACTACATGAAGGTACAACTTATATGAAAAATAAAACGATTGCTCTAATATTTCTATCTTTCAAAAAATATGAAAATTTTGTGTTTCGTTTACAACTTTACATGTTTCCTTTAAAATTAAGCATTGTTTAGTTGTGCCATACATATAAATATGCATCAAGCATGAGCACAAACTTTCAAACAACTCCATATGTGCGTGTTATAATATTTGCATGATAATGTCTTCATTGTTCTCACATTTGTTTCCTTTTCTCAACAAAAAAAGACACATCACTTTGCCTTTATAGAGAACTTGCTCTTCTCCAACATCTTTAATGATGTGACAATTAAATGAAAAAGGAAATTACCATAAAATGACAAGTGTAAAAAAAATAAATAAAAAATGCCTACTAAATGACATGTGGCAAATTGAAGGAGAATAGGACAAGTGGCAAATTTATTTTCATTTATTAGGTAGGATAATATTTACCTATATAATGAGAATTGTATTTGTAGGTTAATGGTGACAATCTATAAGAAATTCCAGGTGGAGAGGTAGCAATTACAAATCTGAATACATGCAATTGTCCATAATTTGTGTTGCAACTTCGTTTTCCTTTGAATCATGACAATGCTACTAGTACAAGAAGTCCAGGTTTGCTTTTTTTTTTTTTTTTTTTTTTTTTTTGTTGAGATTACTAAATTTGGTAACTCAATTTTACCCATTTGAGGAGATAAGTTTGTTATTATTTTTCTGCTTTTTTCCTTTCTGAGTGTGGATATGGAAACTTCATGCAGAATTTTATTATAATTATTTTCCAGGTCATATGAATGATTAAATGTCGACACTCGACATGCAGCTGAATTCTATATTTTGTGGTGCTTGTAGAGTGTCATGTATTGATTGATTAATGGTTTGGTTGAACACAAGTCACATGATACTTCATGCATAGTTTGGATCATATTAAATTGTTAATGGTTCAGTTTAGAATTCAAGCGATGTCTAATGTTTAATGATCAATTTCACAGGTGATGACCTTACATGTGACAATGCAAATCTTGAAGGTGAATCAGGGTCACACTCTAAGCAATTGAGAAAGCTACTTCTATTCTCTAGGAATGTTTAATGATGAATTTCTCCTGGTTGCCAAGGCTGCTAGGTGAAATTGATGTTAACTCTTTTTTATCTTGGATTACTTGACTAGTAGTATAGCAACCAAATGTCTCATTTTCATTAATTTGGCTAAAAAACTATTTTTATTGCCTATTAAGTCACTAAATTAACGTTTTATGTTAAATATGTCACCATGCTTATAGTTTTTTCTGACTTCCATTTTTTATAAGATAATAAAACCTTACTCGCTGATGTCATCTTTTTTGACTTTCATTTTTTATATAATTTTTATTTGGGTTAGGAGGCTACTGATGACAAAGCACCACAATCTGAAAGAGGCATCAAGTCACGTGCAATTCTTGGTAGACAGGTCAAAGGAATTTTCACAGAGCAGGTTGTTATAATGCTTCACATGTTCAAAATAGGTATTTACTTTCATTATTTTTTTTATTGTAACATTATATATTATAAGAAATAAGATTGTATGACATTAACTTTTATGCAATGGATTGTAATTTTTTTATATGGTATTTTATTTCTATTATGAGACGGTAAATGCAAATTTAATTTAAAAATTAATCAATATATAAATATTTTTTTTTAAACATTTAAATTTACGATAAGCAAAAATGTGTCTCATCTTCATTTATGACATGGCCTTTCTTGACAGGGGTTTTAATGATACGCATTGTGTGTCATTAACACGCACGTCATAAGGTTACGACACGTGAATGCGTGTCGTGTTACTTTATGGCAGGGCCTTCCTTGATACGCATTGCGTGTCGTAAACACGCGTCATAATTGCACATCGTAAATGAGCGTCGTAAATGCGCGTCGTCTCTCTTTATGACAGAACCTTCCTTGACGCGCATTTGCGCATCGTCTGAGCCTTGTACGATGCGCAATGAGCGTCGTAAAAGGTTTTTTTTCTAGTAGTGATCTCATACACACCGATGTGTGTGGGCCATTTAGATCCACCACAAGGGATGCAAGCCGGTTTTATGTGACTTTCACCGATGATTATAGCAGATATGGGTATATCTACTTAATCAAGCACAAGTCAGAAACCTTTGAAAAGTTCAAAGAGTTTAAGCAGGTAATGGAGAATCAGCTGGGCAGGAAAATTAAGATGCTATGATCCGATCGAGGTGTTGAGTACCTTGGTCTTGAATTCCATGACTACCTCAAGGAATGCAGAATCATTTTGCAATTGACGCCACCTAGGACACCATAGTTGAATGGTGTGGCTGAGATGCGTAATCGAACCTTGTTGGACATGGTTTGTTCCATGATGAGTCGTTCTTTGTTAGCTATCTCATTATAGGGGTATGCCTTAGAGATTGCCTCCCATATCCTTAACCTAGTCTCTACAAAGAAGGTTGCCAGAACACCTCATGATATATGGACAGGGAGCGCTCCCTCTTTGGCACATATCAAGGTTTGGGGTTGCGAGGATTTCGTAAGAAGAGAGACTCACGACAAGCTAGTACCTCATAGTGAGCGGTGTATTTTCATCGGCTATCCATAAAAGTCCTTTGGATATCTCTACTATAGACTGAGTGACAATGTTGTCTTCATTGTGAGGAGAGGGGTTTTCTGAGAGCGAGAAATCATAATCCAAGGAGATAGTGGGAGGCAAATCGATCTTGAAGAGCTTCAAGAATCGAATGATAAAGGAACCTCTAACACAAAGTTCAACTTGAGGAGGAAACTCCTGTGGAACCTGTTGATGAGTCCTTACCTGTTAGATGTTCCATTAGAGTTAGTGTTCCACCGAAGTTTTATGGTTTTCATATTACTACTGAAGGTGATACGTTTATTAGTGATAGTACACTAGTAAATTTGGATGAACCTAACAACTACAAGCAAGCCATGGCAGACCCGGATTCTGTAAAATGGAAAGAGGCTATGGATAGCGAGATTCAATCCATGTATGAAAACCAAGTTTGGAATTTGGTTGACAATGTGCCAGGTCATAAGATGGTCAAGTACAAATGGATCTTCTAGAAGAAGACCATCATGGATAGGAAAGTACACACTTATAAGGTGCGATTGGTTGTGAAGGGCTTTACTCAAACTCCCGGAGTTGACTATGATGAGACCTTTGCACTAGTTGTGAAGATAAAATCTATTAGGATTATGCTAGCCATAGCTGCCTTTCATGATTATGAAATATGGCAGATAGATATCAAAACCACTTTCCATAATGGGAAATTGGCTGAGGATGTTTACATGAGTCAGCTAGAGGGTTTTGTCAATGCGAAACATCCTAATGGAGTGTGAAAGCTTGAGAAATCCATTTATGGATTGAAACAAGCATCTCACAGATGGAATATTTGTTTCGATGAGATAGTCAAAGAGTTTGGCTTCCTGCGAAGCAAGGATGAGTCCTGTGTATATGTCAAAGCCACTGGCAGTATAGTTAGCTTCCTCGTATTGTATGTTAATGACATGCTACTTATAGGAAATGACATGCCAACCCTGCAGGAGGTTAAGTCCTTGCTTGGGAAGTGCTTCGCTATGAAGGACCTCAAAGAGGCTGCGTATATTCTGGGAATAAGGATAATGAGAAACATGAGTAAAAGACTAATACGATTTTGTCAAAATACTTACTTGGATAAGGTACTAAAACGTTTTAGTATGGAGAATTCCAAGAAGGGAAGTTTCTGATCCAAAGCAATACCAAGTTGAGTAAGACTCAGAGCCCGGGTATCGAAGCCGAGATAGCACGGATGAGTCGAGTACCTTATACATTCGCAGTTGGCTCAATCATGTTGCTATGACTTGTACTTGCCCTGATGTGGCCTTCGCTTTGAGCATGGTCAGCTGATATCAAGGGAACCCTGGTAGAGCACATTGGACCGCAGTCAACAACATTCTTAAGTACCTTCGGAGGACCATGGAATGGTTTCTTATACTCGGTGGGAGTGATGAATTAAGGGTATGAGGGTATAATGATGCCAGTTTTCAGACTGAACGAGACAACTTCTGCTCTTAGTCGGCATGGGTCTTTACCATAAATGGAGAAGCAGTAACTTGGAAAAGATCCAAGCAAGAGACAATAGCTGATTAAACGTGCGAGTCAGTGTACATAGTAGTGAGCGAATCATCGAAGTAGGCAATGTGGTTGAAGAACTTTGTCAGAGATCTTCGAGTTGTACCAGTCATAAAGGATCCTATGGAAATTTTCTGTGATAATGAAGGTGTGGTTGCCTTAACAAAGGAACCAAGGGATCATGGTAGATTTAGGCATATCAACAGGAAATATCACTTTACTAGACATTGGGTAGAAGAGGGACTCCTCGTAGTGAAGAGGGTATCGTTAGAAGAGAAGCCAGCAGATCCCCTTACGAAGGGACTGAGTAGGGTTAAGCACTTGCAACACACTAGGAGCATTGGGTTGAAGGACGATATAAGTTTTAGTGATTAGATATTTTGGACTTGTAATAGATAAATTGTAATTAAAATTTGATGATTAAATAAATGAGTATTATTTGTTAGTAAAGTTATTGTCTTGTGTTAATTATTTACCTATTGTTTCACTTTGCATGTTTTGACTTCCTAAATAATAAGATTATTTGAACAGTCCACAGTCGTTCATATGTTTGAAGTTGATATGAAAGAAGACTATCGTGAATTGGTTTGTAGACTGTCTAAAGTGTATTAGACATATCAAAAGTTTGCTGTAACGTTCATGAGTTCTTATGAAATAAGATTTGAGCATTGGATTGAACCCGCACTTACTTGTATCACTTCATGTAATTTATCACGAGTGATCGTAAGATGATAATATCATATAGTCTTTAAAGATATATGGTTTATTGTTTGCGAGTTGGTTATGAATTGATAATGCATAAACGTATCAGTAACTTGATGTTATAAAACACATTGTTGTGTATGATTTGATGAGTGAATAGTATATGCATATAAGTCGAAGTTTATCTGTTCCTTTTATCCTAAGAGAGTAAATGCGATATCTGGGCCCCTCGATGATCTGGTTTGACTTATGTGACGGGCTCTGTCAGGGCTGAGTTGATGTGTTCAATTAAGTTCTATGTTAGACAAATCAGAGATCGTGAAACAAACTACTGGAAAATAAGTATGACTATGTTCCATGTAGTTTTCCACACAATATCTTGAGAGTGGAGGACTATACGATCCCTTATCAAAGGATGAGTCACAGTTCGACAACGACTTTTAAGAGCTACGATTGCTAATTGGATTTTGAAGTTATACTTGCATCTATAGTTACTAGACTTATCCAAGTGGGAGACTATTTGATTAGTGTCTAAGTGCATAACTATATTTGGTATGTACTTGAGCCGGTTGTAGCATGGTCCATTTGAGCTGGCTTCACCGAAGCAACATGGTTGGATGATTAGTGGAGAAAGAGGAAATTATTGTCTATTAATATATTATATGAATAATATGTTAAAAGAGAAATCATATTGATTGATTAGTATTGGTCAAGAGTTAATTAAGAAATTAATTTTGTGATCAAGAGATATTAATTAAATTTAGTGGACTGGAATTGCAATTATAAGATAATTAAATTTTGGGGTATGGATCATAGGGATAAAGGGGTGGACGAAATTAGGGTGGAAGCGCACCTTGAAATTGTCCAAGGCCTTATTCTAGAAGGTTCCATTGGACCGCTTAAGGCCTAAGCTATCCAATTACGGTTTTGACTGAAACCCTATCAGCTCCACTATATAAGGACCCCTAGGGCTTCAGAAAAAAGCCACCAGAAACCCTAAGAAGTCTTAGAGCTGATTTTTAGCCTCTCATCGCCTCTCTCCAAGATCATCCAATTTGCTTTGGTGTTAGTGATTCATTAGAGGCATCACATTTGAGGTGATAGGTTCTCATAAGCTAAAAAATTCTTCAAGCAAAAATCAAGGTAACATTATTAATGGTTATTTATGTTATTTTCAAGGTTTTTTTTGTATGGTAGATTAGGGTTTGTAATCTATGGATAATT